AAAGAGGAAGAGAGAGAGAGAGAAAAAATGGAGGCAAAATTAATATCGGCAGGAACAGGTTTGAAAGACAATCCCCGAAAGTCCAGAACCCGGGATCGCGCAATTATTTATCGAATCTGTCATAACCGTGCAATAATTTACGTTGAAATTATGCAAACCGCGCGTGGGCGTGGCGTTCGATTAGCAAATAAAAAAGGAAGAGGAAGGAAAACGTACGTGGGGGGAATCGGCTGGGACACAAGTTGAAACACAACCTGCCTTTACTGAATCCGGTGTGTTTATGGTGATTTTACAACTCGATGGGTTACAACACCCACTTCTCGGCCGATAGATTTTCCACAGCGATCATCTACGCGATACACGTTTCGAGAATCCCGAGGGATGAAGAAGAGAAAGAAAGGAGGCTTGATGGGGTTGGAAGATGAAACGAAGACGCGTGGTATTATTATTTCCCATCGAAATTCGTTGAGGAGCGAATGAGAGAGAGAGAGAGAGAGAGAATATTTTTGGAGAGCACAAATATCATTTCTTCGCCCTTCTTGTTTCCTCCTCCATCTCTCAGAGTTTTTTCTTCTTCTTTGTTCGTTCTTGGTCTTTCTCCTTTCTTCGCTCCTACGCTCCCTTTCTCCTCCATTCTCTCTTATCTCTTCTTTTCTTACTTGGAATGCTTCTTTTCCCCTCCTTCTTTGTTTATTTTCACCGCATCTTTCTCCGATTTTTCTCTCTTTTCTTGAGAGACGTATCGATGGTTAGTTAAAATCCTTATCCCTCCCCTCCACTCCAGAGCCAATTCATTCGCAATTTGCCGAGATAAATGATAACCAAGTCACCCAGATATTTTACGCGGTGATATTGACCCAAACGAGCGCTCTATCCCTGTCAAAGCACGGATCCAAAGGGGCGAAATATTTTTTCGGGCACGTTGCCAATTGCTGACGTGACTATCCACTGTGTCAGCAGTGCACGTCAGCGACTACGTTGCACGAACGGAGAAAGGAGAACAGGAAATTTTCGTCGGTGACGAGGGAACCTCTCCTCTTTTTTTCCTCTTCCTTCTTTCTTTTTTTTTTTTTTTCTTTTTCTACGAGGTCGATCTTGTTAAAAATACCGACATTACGATTTACGGGATTAATCGTCCCGATACTTTGGCGCGTGATTATCGATTTCTCTTTCTACTCGATTCCACAACATTCTTAAAATAATTAAATTGGATATAAATTGGATGAAACGCGAGATTTCATCAAAATTGAAAAAATACAATTTATATCGAATTAATTGAAAACAAGCGATGATATAAATAATTAATGTGGAAGAAAATTATTAGGTGTTTAGATTTAGATCTTCTCTTTCCTCTAATGATATATCTATATCCAAAAAATTTTCTTTCTTTTTAACATAATTTAACAAATTTATCTCGAATCCTTTGGGCAAATTTTGATGAAAGAGATATCTGCAAAAATCTTGGAAGAAGAAGAAGAAGAAGAAGAAGGAAAAAATCGTCGAATTCTTGATAATCGTTGATAAATCTAAAACGTTGCACACCTGGGAACGCCTAACGAGGCCCCGTGCCAAGGGGCGCTAATGACATTAGCAAAACTGTCAGCGGTGAGATAGAGGCTGTAACGGGCCCGCTCATTGCCGGTGTAAATATTTATTCACGTTGATGCCGCATAAAATTGAAAATCTTCATAATGCGGGGCCACCGCGGCGCATACTAAGTCTCGTATTAGCATACATCGCTTAAATCTTGATTCGTGTTTATGGTGTGGCCTCGTGCTACGGAAAAGACCGCCTTTCAGCCATTATTAACGCGAGAGATGGAGAAATAACGCCTTTGATGAAATTTTCCACCACGTTCCGTGAAAATTAGAATTTATTAAATATCATCGATGCGATCAATCGAAAAATTGTTATCAAGAAAAAAAAATATATATATATATATCGTGTTACATCCACCAATCATTTCCTCCAATCTCGACTAATTACAAAATTATTAGACGAACCAAATATCGAGATGATGGAGTTTAACATCAAAGAACGGAGGTACATTATATTATACGCGACCAATTACTTTGCTATCTAGAGCTAATTAGAAAACTATTAGAACGAAAATATCGTGTAAACGTCAAAGAATACGTCCATGTTGCATTCTTGCCCGATTCGCCATTCAGTCCGCGGCCACTATCGAGAAGCATTCCGATAACACTGGCAATGAACGTTTTCTCATAAATCGCGCTGCTGTGTTGTACAAGCACCTCCGATAAATGTATCAAATGCGAGCTCGCCAATTTGCAAACAGTAATTACTACGGCGTACTACGGTGTACTAGATGTCAAGATGACGCGACAAAGATCAATTCGCCGATTATTCGTTGAATTCTCGAGTCGAGAAAATTATCTCCTCGAAAAATTCGAGTTTTAAAAATTTTCATTTTCGAAAAATTTTTTCCTCTCCCTCCCTCTCTCTCTCTCGCACATGCACGCACACAATCGATCGATAAGAGAGTTTTCTCCATGCGGTGGTTACGGATAAATATATCAAACAAATGGCGTTGAGAACCACTGGTGGTCGCACTGCACGACAAGTGCATCGCCGATCGTGTGTGAGTGCGCTACACGTTCACTACACACGCGTGCACGTTCCTCGCCGATGCTCTCCTCTATACACGTGCACGGAACGCCTCGACGCGTGTGAGGGTGCATCGATGTGAGCGTAGAGTCACCGACACTCGTGCTGCTCGTCCTTCCATTCTATACAGGGTGTTTCAAAAATAATTGGCTCGAATTTTAAAACATCCTCTCCTCGCGGTCGAAGAGAGAGAGAGAGAGAAACGTTGTAATAAACGCGCTTGGAAATGTGTGTCAAGTTCGAGTATCGCCGTGGAAGGCTGCTTTTAACAATACCGACACTGATTGAGCTGATGAAATAACGAGGTAAACGAATTATGAAAAACCTAGATTAGATATATTATCTGCCACTCCAGTTTTATATTATATGCGACGATTTCCACATCACTCTTCGAGCATATAATCGAGTATATATATATATATATATAGAGTGTTTAAAATTGGAAACACCCTGTACATCTAGATAGCCATATAACAGTAACTTGGAGACGGTATACAAACATATTACATGGAAAGTCGAGGGGTGGAGTAAATACAAACAGGATGCCCTAAAAAGAAAATAAAAGAGGAGAGAAAGAAGGAAGATTCGTGTCGTAAGGGTTCTCCTCTTTCTCGTCCTCCACCTCTCCCTCCCTCCCTCTCTCTCTTCTTCACTTCATATCCACCAAGTAACGCCTACGCGGCCAGCAAAGAGTTGCCTTCGAAAGAGAAGGAATATAATTGCGCGCGATCGATAAATTCTCCGAACGTGCATCAACAACTCCATTTTGCACAAATAACGTATATTTCCGCTAATGAAGTGCCTTAGCTGCACTGACTTCCCCTTGTTCCCCTGTAAAACATTAATGTATGCCGTCGTAAAACGCTGCTGCACTCGTCTCGAAAGGTGGAGCACATCGGGGGTGCGCTCCAAGGACAGAGAGAGGAGGGGAGGAAGAAAGAAAAAAAATGATATATGCACGTACTAGTAAGTATTCATTTTTCCCCCCCCCTCTCCCTCCCCGAAAAGCAAATTGTACGCGTCGACTGGCTGTTCGAGCGTGCAATTAAATTTCATCAAAAACGGAAAACTCTTCGTGGCACCATGGGGTGAGGCGAAATACGTTATAGGTTGTCTGCCTTCTTCGCCATCATCCACGCATTCATGTACGCAGGTTATACACAGGGTGTTTCGCGCGATGAGAAAAGTATTCAAATCGTGGCTTTCATTTTTTTTTCCTCAACCCTTTATTGGGATGGGGACAAGGGCGATCATTTCTTCGAACATCTAAGAAGACGGTAATTCTTGTAAACTTTCGCAGTTGCGACGAAACGAGTTTCGTTCATCGAGAAATTTACTTTTCGAAAAGATTAGGAAAAAAAAGAAAAGGAGAATCGAAGAAAAGTCGCGACCTTTATTTTTCCTTATTTTCTCCGGATATCGATAAACGACACTTGCCTCGAAACGAAATACAACTTCTTTCAACTTCCGATTTAACCCACAAACCCATCCAACTTCTTTCCCTTCCAAAAATTTCAGGGATCGTCGAACGAAAACACAACCAAACCCTTCGTATTGCATCCGATTCGAAAATGAGCGGAGAGAGAAGAAGGATAAAAATACCTGCTCGCGCAAGTATCAACCAACAGTTTCACGACTGTAAAGCGCGGCGTGGACAAGGAGGTATCGATGGTTTAGAAAATATTTCAGTTCCACTGTTCGGCGTGACTCACCCTGTATATGTACCAGGAATAACGCATGTATACATAGGCCATAGATACGTGGACCAACACGCGGCCGTACATAATGTGATATAACACACGTACCTGTCGTACATACGTGGACGGTGCGCGCGTGTGGGTGAGGAGGCAAGAGAAAGGGCGGCGGGCGGGGAGGGGGAGGAGGAGGAGGAGGAG